ACTAAAATAAATATTTTAATAAAAAATAAAAAAATCTTAAATCATCATAATAAGAGATGCATAAAAATATGAGGAAAAAAAAAGGAATGCTAACGTGAATAGACTTCTAATGAAATAAAATTAAAGTACCAAAATTGTAGGGAAAATGTTTAATTAAATTTGAAAAAGCAATAAATGTTTAGTTTATGACATTAAAAAACGAGGCGTTTATATCAAAACATCATTTTCAGATAATGTCAAATTTTTAGTTTTTATTAATGTTTTACCTAGGTATACAATGTAAGTGAATGAGTTAGTTCAACGCAACACGGCAACAGGAAATTATTGAGCATATAATCGTTGAAGGCTGCGGATCTGTTTCTTGAGAATTTGGTCCTTCCTTTCTTTTTACTTGATGTGTTATTACCATGTAAACTGGCATTGTGTCCATATTCAGTTTCTTAAGGGAGTTTAAGTCGCATAAAAGGCTGCAACACCTCCACACTCATATAGATAAGAATGCATGCGGTAGAACTTTATTACTGTCAATCATGCCAATTAACAGCAATACCTCAAAGCTTCCGAGAGATTTTTCAATGTGTCCGGAGCAGCACGGTATATGTCATAACACAAGTAGGAGGGAAGTTTTATTTTTTTTATTTTTTTCAAGTGCCCCTCTACTTGTATGATGACATATGAAGTATGTATTCGAATTCCGGATACACTGAAGAATCTCTCCAAAACTTCAACTGCGTTACAAGTACCTCGTTTGGCAGCTGTTGCAAAAACTAGATAACCAAAATTAGGCTCATTAAGTCTCGAATTTTTGTGCTTGCAAGTATACGATTCAAATTACAGTATAGCATATAAGCACAGATATCGTCCCACAGAGATCGAATTGATTCTAAAGTCTTAGTTACTAAAATGAAACAAATCATAGTGGGGAAGCTTTAATGGAAAAGAATGAAACTTTGAAATTAAACTAAAATAAAATAAAACTTGAAAATAAAATACATGTAATTTATAAATTGAAAACATAAGAAAAGAAGACCAAGAGCATCCAAATTCACCGTAACAAAATCCTATTTAATTCCCTTAATAAGTTATGCTCAAGTAGTTCCCCAATATTGATGATCGATTTTCCCAAAATTATTCGACAGTCATGGCATTCGGTTACATCAAAAGTATCCTTACATGTTAACCCTGTATGGCATCTAGATGGATTTAAACAAGTAAAAACTCATTAAGCTCTATGGAAATCGTTGGAAAATCACACAAACCCTAATTGCATGGCATCTACAAATAGGTGTTTATGGTATCAATTGCAAGAAGCTACACCCAAGTTAAGTATGGCATCTACTCTAACTTGCATAAAATTAACCTAATTTAAACCTAGATGGTGATCAAGCATCTAAATAAAAATCAAGGGCATTACAATTAGCAAAAGAAACTCAATAAAGGTGAAAAACTTGATAATAACAATGCCACAAGGCAATTAAGTATTCATGATTAGGCTACATCATAGCCCTTGTAAAGAAAAACTCCAATGTAGCTCTTCCTCTTCGCCCTTCTTTGCCGCAACCCGCTATGGGCAAATTTGTTGATGTTTTTTTTTTTTTAGTAATGCATCACAAAGAGAAGAAATCTCCTTATAACACCCACGGCAAAGACGAGAAAAAAAAAACTAATTTAACCCTACTAAAATCCTAACTAATGCACTTTAAGTTCTTATTAAATAAAAAGAAAATGAACGGAAATAATAAAAACAAATAATTATGTCTCTTCTTAAATCCATTGAATAGCACTCCCATGTCCATTTGATTTCCAAAACTATTGCAGTCTCATCTTCTTGTTGTAACGCATATGCCCTGGTACAGTTAATTAGCCTCTTACTCCACTGGAATTACTATAGACAACCAAAAAGCTCATTTTTCACTTCATTTTTGCGTAACTCCAGCATTTAATGCCTATAAATTAAAACAATATAAATTAGTGCATTTAACCCATTCATATATACAAAATCCAAAGGAAGTATATGATAAAAATATATGAAAATATGCACTCATCAAATACCCCAAAACTTAGATTTTGCTTGTCCTCGAGCTATGATAGGAGCATATTCATGCGACTTAATTAGCTTGTTCTCGTGCATTTATGTTGTGTTTCCTTAGTTATTTTAGTGTTTAAAGCCACTTTTGTGTATTTTCAGATTATAAGGCCAAAGTATGCAAGAAGATGCAAATTGGAGTCCTTTGGAGCAAAAGAGGAATGAATGAGTTGAAGACTTGAAGAAACGATAAATTCCCACTCCAACGATGAAGTCCTACCAAAACGAGGATTCCTACTCAAACAAGGATTCCTACTTGAAGTAGGAAAGTTAACCCTAGGTTTCCCGTTTTGGTAACATTTCCTAATCTTAAACGTCCGTATTTTCTAGCCACTTTGAAGGCCTTGTAGGCACTTTAGGACACAAAACGAAGGCCCTAGGCCCCTTAAACACCCTTGCCGTGCCCTTTTCTCTTCTCCCCTTCCCTTGCCATGCAAGGGGGGGTATTTAGGTCCAAAGTTATGCACTTAAACCCTATTTCCCTTCCTAAACTAAACCCTAGCCGCACCTTGCAGCCATCCCCTTTAATTTCTGATTTAATTCCCTAATTCTAGTAGCCTTTAATTCAATTTTAGTTAATAAAAATAACTTAGGGTTTTATTTTTCTGAAACCCTATATATTATACATCTTAGCTGCACCCTAGATTTGATTTTCATTCATTCTTTTCATTATTTCAGCCACACACATCTTTGCCACAGCCACTATCCCCTTTCCCCTTCAATCTGCCATTTTTTTCCTTCAACCCGTCACTCCCATCACCAAAAACCTATCAGCCGCACCTTTTCCCATCCATTCCAGCCATTACCCTTCTCTGCCGCAGCCACTCCACCCTTCCAGCCACCATTCCCAACCTCCATACACCTCCCCACCTCCTTGCCGCACCACCATATCCCCATAAACCCATCCCTAAACCAGAAAATCATCCAAACTCACCCTAAACCTTCTCTGCCGCAGCAAGAAGAAAGGAGAAATAGGAGCTTGAAACGTGCAAAAATTCAAAGTAGATTCGTTTGGCGTTTTAGGTGTAATCACTCTTTTGTTCTCTATGTTTAAATTCAATTTTATTTCTCTTTCTGTGAACATGAGAGGCTAAATCCCTAGTTAGCTAGGGGATGATTCGAAACCATGTTTATGCTTGCAATATAAATTGATTACCTTCGGTTGGAATTTCATGAGTTGTGGATTCAATTTGTTTAACTGCATGATTGATAACTTATTTGTGTATGTTTATTGAGAGTGCACGCTTAATTTTCATGCATGAATATGATGCTAGAATATAAGTGAGTTTCACCTAATAGTTACAAACTTATATTCACAAGTAGTGGAGGTTGCTTATAAACAATCGCGTTAAATGAATTCTTGGCACTAGTTTCATGCTCATCATAGTAACGAATGCCTCGTCAACACTTATAGTTTTCATGTTGCTTAATGATCTTTGATTGTATCTTTATTGTGCTTTTCACGTAAATGACTTTTGGAGAATGTTTTGAATTGCGTATGCGCTGTCCCATCCAATTCATTAACTTAAGGAGAACTTGAAGGTTAATTTAAGCGAACCTAATTAACCCGGGGTGTTGAGTTTCATGATTCATCGAAAGACCAACTGAAAATCATCTTGTATGCAAGTGTGACATGTGTGGATAAGAACCTTCTAGCTAGCATTCCATCCATATTTTCATCAAATTCGTATTTACATTCTGTTTTAATTACAATCTGTGCATTTTGTTTAATTTCGTCAAAAACTCAATCCCCCTTTACTTTAGTGTTCAATTTAGTTAGAAAGTGTCTTAGTTTGTGTTTCTAAGTGTTTTGATTCAATTTATTACCCAAATTCGTCCAAATTAGTCATAGTGCTCAAAACTGCCCAGATTGTGTTTTTAAGGCAGTTTTGAGTGTTTTGGTGCTGTTTTGAGTCTTTTGGTTTGTTTTAGTGTTTTAAGTGTTTAGTTTTGCATTCTTTAAGTCTAGTTTAGTGTTTTAACCTTTGTTTTACGTTTTTGAGTCAGTTTCCAAGTGATTTAGCAATCCCTCCTAATCCCTGGTTAAGAACGATCCCTACTTATACATATACTACAATTGTCAAAAGAGGGTTTTAATTTGTGTGCTTATATATTTCGCATCAAGCTAAACAAAAGAAAATAAAACACAACAAATTTTTAGCTAAATTCCCAAATTTTAATCTTAGAGAGAACACCAACCATGAGATTACTTTCAAGAAATAAGCAACAGTAGTTCAAAACATTATCGAAGCTTTAACCAATTTTTAATGAACCAACTTGGTGTGTAGTGTGTGTAATAGTCATGTCAATGCAATTCCAAGCTTCTTAAAATCATCATTTGCAAACAAGTGAGCTTCTCACAAGGCATACACTCATTCACTCATATTTGTAGGTTAATGTGTTCCACTCAAATAATCTCAGTGTACATGACGCTATATGCTTGCTTGTCTACCTAACTTGATATCAATATCAAGTAACTTCTTGGATCAAAAGGTCTTTCATAGAGTTATAACGAGGCTGAGGATTAATTGGTTACACAAGAAAAAAAGTATGGAAAAACACAAAATCTAAATAACTTGTAAAGCATCACAATTGTATTTGAGAGATAGAGAAACTTAAAATCCGCACTTCAGAACTTGAGCACCAAAATAGATCATTTGGTTAAATCTTGAAACCTTTTTTTTTCATCACATTTCTCTTTTTTTTTTCTTTTCAAGCAGACAACCGTTTTTATTTTTTTTTTCTTTTCATTTTTTTCTTTCCTCTCATCATTTTTTTTTTCCGTTCTATGATAATATTCAAGCCCCAACACTTGGAATTCTCTTCTCAAAAAAAAAAAAATTACTCTACAAGCTTTTTAGACAGGTAGAAATTTTTTTACAAGGCTAGGTAGGGAAAATTTAGGTTTAAGAACAAAAAGGATCACAAAAAGGCTCAAAATGGCTAACTAGGGAAAACAATTATAATGGTTGGCTAGAAAGGCTCAAGCAAAAGAAACAAATGCCTAAATCACTTCCAAGTTTTATTATGTGAATTGCTGAATGCAACGAGAGGTATAAAGCAAGTTCTAGAGATACATGCAAAAATGAGATCATGCGCACAAGAATAAACGAGATTGATGCATAGTGGTTCAATCATAAAATAGGCTCAAAAGCTCACAAGGGTTACATTAGCACACTATATTCACATATGAAACTTTTAATCATACTCTAGTTTCACACCAACAAGGCTACGTGCATTTGTTCTTCCAAGTCATGATCATCAAAAAAAATATAGTTTAAACAAAGATAATGTAAAGAACTAATGTCAAACTTAAATTTCTTGAAAGTTATGAAAAACGTAAAGATCGTATCTCATCACTGAGTGGGGAAGTAGCCAATAAAAACAAGACTCAAAGAAAATTTTTTTTGGGTTCTCAAGTTTTATATTTTTGTATGTATTTTTGGTTTTTTTTTTTTTCCAAAACTAAAACGAAAACAATGAAAGAAAAAAAAAACGAGGATAACGAACATAGACAACAAAAGAAAATAAATGAAATAAAGCTCTTGGACAAGGAAACTTCCCGGGTTTAAGGAGACGGCCAAACGAACATGTAGATGACAATCCACCCCCAAACTTGAATTTTCCTACTGGCAACATGGTTAGGTGGCTCTAGTTTTCTACAAAAACACCAAACAATGGGTAAGCTAAACAAGAGACTTAGGAGAATAATTTTTTATTCAAAAAAAAAAAAAAACTAACAACTAACATTAAAGCTAAACCAACTAAAAGATATAACAATCCAATTAAGTAATAGAATCAAATTTGAACCCCTGTAACGGCGCCAAAAACTTGTTGTGAAAATTAGATAACCGAAATTAGGCTCATTAAGTCTCGAAATTTTGTGCTCGCAAGTATACGAATCAAATGATTGTATAGCATATAAGCACAGATATCGTCCCACAAAGATTGAATTGATTCTAAAGTCTTACTTACTAAACTGAAACAAATCATAGTGGGGAAGCTTTAATGGAAAAGCATGAAACTTTGAAATTAAACTAAAATGAAATAAAGCTTGAAAATAAAATACATGAAAATTATAAACTGAAAACATAAGAAAAGAAGACCTAGGGCATCCGAATTCACTGTAACCAATCCTACTTAATTCCCTTAAATGTTATGCTCAAGTAGTTTCCCAATATTGATGATCGATTTTCCCTAAATTATTCGACAGTCATGGCATTTGGTTACATCAAAAGTATCCTTACATGTTAACCCTCTATGGCATCTAGATGGATTTAAACAAGTAAGAACCCATTAAGCTCTATGGAAATCGTTGGAAAATCACACAAACCCTAATTCCATGGCATCTACAAGTAGGTGTTTATGGTATCAATTGCAAGAAGCTACACCCAAGTTAAGTATGGCATCTACTCTAACTTGCATCAAATCAACCTAATTTAAACCTAGATGGTGATCAAGCATCTAAATAAAAATCAAGCGCATTACAATTAGCAAAAGATACTCAATAAAGATGAAAAACTTGATAATAACAATGCCACAAGGCAATTAAGTATTCATGATTAGGCTACATCGTAGCCCTAGTAAAGAAAAACTCCAATGTAGCTCTTCCTCTTCGCCCTTCCTTGCCGCAACCCACTATGGGAAAATTTGTTGATGTTTTTTTTTTTAGTAATGCATCACAAAGAGAAGAAATCTCCTTATAACACCCACGACAAAGACGAGAAAAAAAAAACAAATTTAACCCCACTAAAATCCTAACTAATGCACTTTAAGTTCTTATTAAATAAAAAGAAAATAAACGGAAATAATAAAAACAAATAATTATGTCTCTTCTTAAATCCATTGAATAGCACTCCCTTGTCCATTTGATTTCCAAAACTATTGCAGTCTCATCTTCTTGTTGTAACGCATATGCCTTGGTGCAGTTAATTAGCCTCTTGCTCCACTGGAATTACTATAGACACCCAAAAAGCTCATTTTTCACTTCATTTTTGCGTAACTCCAGTATTTAATGCTTATAAATTAAAACAATATAAATTAGTGCATTTAACCCATTCATATATACAAAATGCAAAGGAAGTATATGATAAAAATATATGAAAATATGCACTCATCAGCAGCTCAGACTGTACTGACTATTTCAATTGGATAGAATAATATGTCATCGGATAGTATTGATTATTTAGTCGTGCTTACTGACTATTTAATCAAGCGTTTGGTGCAGTACCGGATTAAAAACGATTTTAAAAAATAATAATAATGTCTATATACATTTTAACAAAATAAACAAATTAAAGAGCACTAATCAGATTTGTTCTTAGTTAAAAAAAAAAAATAAAAACTCAATTCATCTTGGACTTGTTTTTGTCCGTAATTCTTCCTCCTATTAATAAAAGTTGTTATGTACAAAGAATCAAAGATTATCATGTTCATTTACTTCCTCAAAATGAGATTGAAGAACATTTATGGCACTCAGTTTCACAATTTAAAACCAAATTTGGTGTTAGAGCCAGTCGATTTGATGGGAAAAACGTAAAAACCACCACCTCTGATCCAAACGAAAACGTTGCCGCCATGGATGTTCTCCATGAGCATTTGCAAATGCAGGTCGACAACTTGTTCATCGATTAGCCGCAATTCCAACTTATTCCACAACCCAATCCCCATCCCCATCAACCATATATAGTCGCATACCTGATGCGAGAATTACTTGACATTCAAATTAAACCCTCGTTTGACAATTGTAGTAGAATGGATAAGTGAGGGATCGTTCTAGACCGGGGATTAGGAGGGCTTGCTAAAACCTTCTAAATTGACTTAAAAACATAAAGACTAAATTAAAACAGATTTAAGACACTTGGGAACAAGGAAATAAAAAAAAGGGGGTTTTAGTTTTGACGAAGTTGAAATAAACAAACAAAATGCAAAAATGGACAGATTGTAAACAAGTGTTGTGAAACAAGATGGTTGGTGAATTAGCTAGAGGTTCTTTCTCCACACATGATATTTATGCATATGAATCAATTTCCAGTTATTCCTTCATTGAATTATGAACGACAATGCCCCAAATTAACCGTGACATCACTAGTTAACCCTCAGATTTTCCTTATATTATTGGATTGGATGGCATCATTCGACAACCCAAAACATTCTCAAAAGTTCCCTACATGTCATCATAATAGAGATACAATCGAAGATCATTAAGAATAATGAAAACCATAAGCATTGACAAAGCATTTGCAACTATGACATCATGTTACTCATGCTAAGAATTAAACTTAACGCGATCGTGACAAGCGACCTTCACTACTTTCAAGTATAAGTTAGTAACGATTATGTGAAACCTTCTTAAACTTTAGCCACATATTCATGCATGCTAATTAAGTGTCGACCCTCAATCAATAAACACAAATAAGTTAATCATCAAATAGTTAAGCCAATTGCATTCACGAATCAAGAGTTCATAACCGGAATTCATCAATTCATATCACATAAATAATCATGGTATTGAAATCACCCCTAGCCAAAAAGGGTTTAGTTCCTCATAACTTTGAAATCAAAGAAACACCTAAACATTCCAACAACTCAAACTTGAATTGTATGAACGTTTAGGCACTCACGGCCAAAGGGGGAAGATGGAAGTGTTTGTGGTGTGTTGTGTATGAAATGAGATCCTTTGAATGATGGGAATGCAAGGGTATTTATAGGAGGAGTGGAAGTGTAAATGGCTGTTTGTTTAAGGTGTTTGTGTGGAGGAAATGATGGAAAAGCATGGTGGAAAGCTGGAATGTGGAATGGTGCCCACGGCAAAGTGTTTTGGGGATGGTTCTTTGTGGTTGTGATGCATGTGATTGCATGTGTTGATTGCTAAGGTGTGTGATGATGAGTGTAAGTGGAATAAAGAATGAGTGGTGGTGTAATGATGAAGTGAATGCATGTGGAAATGCAAGGTGGAAAGCTGGAAATGTGAGTGAAGGCCACGGCAAGGGTGAATGGTGCTGTTTTGTGTGTGAATGATTGTTGTTTTGCATGTGACATTGTTTGTGGAATGTAGGATGGATAGGGTGAATGATTATGTGTGAATGCATGTGACTTGCGGCTGCAAAGAGAAGGAGAAAAGCTGGAATGTGTTGATGTGTATTGCACGGCAAAGGGGGGTGAGAAATGATGGCATGAAAGTGAAGGGATTAGTGGTGCATGTGCATGTGTTTTAGGTTGTTGTTGTGATAAGTGATAAGTGTATGATATGATAAGTGAATGGTTTGATAAGTGATAAATGAATGATATGTTAAGTGATAAATGAATGATATGTGGTGAGTGAAAAGTGAATGGAAGTGATAAGTGATAATAAGGCTAGTTTAAAGGGCTAGGGTTTAAGTACATAGAATGGGCCTAAAATAGGTTGGTTTGCATGGCATAATATGTTTGATTGGGCTAGAGGTTTTCCATGGCTCAAAGGATTTGTTTGATTTCCCCAAAGAGCATACAAGGCTTCAATTTCGTCCATCCTCTTTGCTCCATGATTAAGCTATCCAATCCATGCCCAAAAGTGCCCCAAATAGCCTCAAAATGCACTTTCTTGCTCCCTAAGCCCTTAGAACCTGAAAACACACAAAAGAAGCATAAAGGACTAAAATAACTAGAGAAACATAACGTAAATGCACGAGAACAAGCCATTTAAGTTGCATGAATATGCTCCTATCAATACCTCAAACTCTAGTTCCTACTTTGTTGAGAGAGAGAAGGAATATTGGTTGAGAATATGGATTGGGAAAGCACTGTAGTAATCAGCAAGAGAGAGATGGAAAAAAAAAGCTAGCTTGATTTTGTTTCCAACGACCCAACTAATAATACCGACGACTTGGAGTATATAAGTTATCTGGTGTGCGTCGTATAAAATAGGCAGGGCTGCATAAATAATCCGGTGCTAATTTAATACGAAATGGCACCAAACGAGGCCTTAGTGCTTGTAATCATGATCACACATCACACGATGTACATTATTGCTCATTGCATTCAGGGCTTGTTGACGTTTCAAGTGTTGAGTTGAGTTTCCATCATCACTGATGAATTATTGTTTCAAGTGTTGAGTTGAGGTTGCATCGCCATTGATGAATTATTGAAATAGACTCTAATTAAAACCCTATATTATTGATGTAGTTGAGGTTGCATCGCCATTGATGAATTAGTTGATGTAGTTGAGGTTGCATCGCCATTGATGAATTATTGAAATAGACTCTAATTAAAAACCCTATATTATTGATGTAGTTGAGGTTGCATCGCCATTGATGAATTATTAAAATGGACTCTAATTAAAACCTTATATTATTGATGTCCCACATTAATAACCCTATATTATTGATGTAGTTGAGTTTGCTTCGTCATTGATAAATTATTGAAATAGACTAATTAAAACCCTATATTATTGATGTAGTTGAGTTTGCTTCGTCATTGATGAATTATTGAAATAGACTCTAATTAAAACCCTATATTATTGATGTAGTTGAGGTTGCATCGCCATTGATGAATTATTAAAATGGACTCTAATTAAAACCTTATATTATTGATGTCCCACATCAATAACCCTATATTATTGATGTAGTTGAGTTTGCTTCGTCATTGATGAATTATTGAAATTGACTCTAATTAAAATCCTCTATTATTGATGTCCCACATCAAGACTTTGTACGAGTTTGAATAAATTTTCTAACAAAGTCTATTCTCAAGCGGAAGTGAATTCTAACAAAGTATCAAATATCAACATGTATATGAATGCTAAAACAATCTCAAAAGAACACAAGAGATTTATGTGGTTTGGTGCAAAGTCTATATCCACTAACGAAGCACATCAAGAAATTTCACTAAACAAACAGAGATTACAAAAGAGTGTTTAAACTCTCACAACCCAAATCCCACAAATTACAAACTCTAAACCAAACAAGTAGAGAACTCAAAACAAACGGAGAAGATTATCCCAGATTGCTCTCTAACTCTCAAATTGATTCTCACCCAATTGCCAACACGAATGACCCATAAGTTTGCCACACACTCATGGCTCCAAACGGTGTCGTCCACCCAAAACACAATGAGAAAAAACTCTCTAAGCTAATGGTGTTGGCACACAAAATAAACAAACCTTAAGGTCCTATTTATAGTGCATAGGACTTATGTTACAATGAGAATCCTAATCCTAATTGGAAGTAAATTCAAATCCTAATCAAATAAGTAATTAACGAAATCTCCCCACCAATCAAAGAATCCAACCAAGAAGTTAAATCCAAATCCAAATAGGTTATCAAACGAAATAAGTAACATAGACCTAATTTTTGCATCATCCTAATTTAGAGTCATAAATCCCAACAATCTCCACCTCAGTGAGAAATTAGCAAACCTCCAAATCAAATACAAACTTCCTCCGTCAAAATCTTCAAATATCAAATTTCGCCAATGACACAAAAATGTTCATCATGAATGGCAAACAAAAGCCCAAGTTGAAACCTAGAGCTTTGATACCACTTGCCGTGTGGAAGCATACATTTGTCAATAGAGGGGTCGCTTATGGGTCCCACACATACAAGCCGAATTGGGTTATTCCCCTCACTTTGGCCATTTGGGAGCAACGAGTATGGAGTTTGACCAAAAGGCCTTGGCAATATGTGTGTGTGGTACTGTAAGAACCCGTCCCGGGATTTACGTAAGAAAATGAGTATTTTTATTTTTTCACTAAGTTTGGGAATACCTTCCTCTTTAAAATTGTTTTTGAGTCTTAATTGGTGAGCCCAAGGGGGCCACGCCCCCTGTTTTGTTCCGGTTCCTTTCCCTTTCCCTTTCCCTTTTCTCTTTTTTTTTTTTTTTCTGAAAAGTCTCTCTTTTCTCTTCTCTCTTTCTTCCTCTGTGATTTCTCCATCCCCCCTCTCGGTCCGACAAGAACACACACACACACACCCATGCCCACACCTATAACTCTTTTCTAACCCCGTGGTTGTGTTTTAGACGTCAAACCATGAAGAAACGACCTCGGAGACATTTCCCTAGTTTTCCAGCTAGCACCGCCCCTTTCGAGGCAATTTCCGGCCAAACCACGGCGATTTGGCCGGCGTGCAAGGTATGAATCTCTTCGTCTCGCTGAGTACTACAACTTTCCTTTTTGTTTCATCCAATTTCATTGAGTATTGAAGATGTTATGCTCATTTGAATCTTACCCAGTTTTCCGGCGAGCACCGCTCCTTTCGAGGCAATTTACGGCCAAACCACGGCGAGTTGGCCGGAGTTCAAGGTATCAATCTCTTCCTCTCTCTGAGTACTACAACTTTTCTTTTTGTTTCACCCAATTTCATTGAGTATTGAAGAAGTTATACTCATTTGAATCTTACCCAGTTTCCGGCGACCTCAGTAACTTTCCAGGTGTTTTCCAGCCAAAACACGGCGAGTTAGACGTCATGTGAGGTACCATTCTCTTCGTCTCTTCGAGAGCTATGATTTTCATTTTTGAATCACTTGATTTCGTCAAGTATTAACAAAGTTATGGACGTTCAAAATTTGTCTACATTCCGGCCGAATTCCGGCCTTCTTCTTCGGCGTGAAACCCAGCCCAAGAAACCCAAAGGCCTTGGGGCCGTGTGAACCAAACCCAATACCCTTTGTAATTGGGCCTTTGGGCCGTATGGTTTCTAACCCAAACCCAACCCACCTAAAACCTAAACCCATTTACCCTAACCCAAACCCTAAAGCCCAAACCCGTTGACCCTGACCCGTTGACTGAGTCAACGGTTAGCGTTGACTTTTGCTTTGACTAGTCACGGTCAACGTTGACTTTGACCGTTGACTTTTTGGGTCGTGCGGGACCTCTCCTAGGCTAATTTCGACGTTCTGAACCCATTTCTGATGTCCGTTTTTCCAAATTCAATTGTTTGAGTAAAGTTTGACTAAATGTACCCTTTATGTGCTTAGGGACGATTATCTGTGGCGTTTCCTTCTTCGCTAAATGGCGTGGCTTTTCAACGGCGAAGTACTGCGAATGGACCCCTTCTAAAAATGCATGTTTTGATAGGATATATGCATACATGAAAAGCATGATTTGATGATTATGTTTTATGAAACGTTTAACGAGATAACATGCTTACTGAGGCTAGTTTGAATTTTTACTATTTTTCCTATAACCCATGTTCTTATAGAATATCTGATGGATGATGATATGATATTGAGAACGTGTTTAGAACACCTCTTTATAGTATAGATGATGCATGACTTTATACTATGAAGTTGATTTTCAATATATGTATGTTCACTTGTTTTGTACTTACCTAGTGGTGCTTTCTGCTACGGGACGTAGGGATAGATCCGGTCCGTCCCGGGCGACGGTTTGGTGTTGGCATAGGGCCTGGAGTGTGTTTTCCTCTGATTGTCTGCTCAGAGACAGGGAGCCGGCATGGGGCCTGAAATGTATTTTCCTCTGACTGTCTGCTCAGAGACGGGGAGCCGGCATGGCGCCTGAAGAGTTATAGGACATTCACTAGTATTTATTATTTATGCGAATTATGATTTGAGATATTGCACGACATGCTAGGTTTCGGAAAACCTATGTTTATCATTAATTTTGTGTTTTCATAAAACCTAGGGGTTAGTATGTTGATAACTGTTTTATTATATTTATATATATATATATATATATATATATATATCAACTTGGTCCATTAATGTTTGTTTTGCGCCCCCTTCAGGACTTAGAATCGAGGCATACAATTCCGACATCCAGGCACTTCCGCATCGACATCTTCGAGTCATTTCGGTGTAAGACCCACTCCTTCGTTTCATTCAATTTTATATTATTTTCTTCTAGTGTTCTAGATTAGAGGTGTGCTCTGAACACGGTCCTTATTTTCATATTCATTATTCTTTTATATTTATAAACCATATTTATCCTTTGTTTTCAGTTTTTACACTCAATAAATGGCTTTCGTCACCCTCGGGTGTCAGCCAACACGTACCTATCCTGGTATTCGGGGAATATCGAGGTCGGGGCGTGTCAGGTACCATTCCTTATAAACCATAGATGGCTCTCCTCCTTAGCTGATGTGGGACAAAGTGTGGCTCTAATTTAAGCCACCAAATTCTAACAATCTCCAACTTAGCATGATTCGATCCATTGACAAATTGACGTCTCAAGATCCAAATTCAAATACAGCTCCACCTTGACCAAATGGAACCAAATTCCAAATAAGCTCTTCAACTTCAAATATCGCGAGCTTCACCAGTCCCAAGCGTTGCCTGGGCTCTCCACCAATCCCAAGCATTGCTTGGGCTCTAATACCACTCGTTGTACTTTTATGCGCAAGCGGAAGTGAATTTTAATAAAGCGGCAAATATCAATGTCGTATGTGAATGCTAAAACAATCTCAAAAGAACATAAAAGATTTATATGGTTAGGTGCAAAGCCTACGTCCATAGGCGAAACACGGCAAGGAATTTCACTAAACAAACGAAGATTACAAAAGAATGTTTAAACTCTCACAACCCAAATCCCACAAATTACAAACTCTAAACCAAATGAGTAGAGAACCCAAAACAAACGGAGAAGATTCTTCCAAATTGCTCTCTAACTCTGAAATTGATTGTCACCTAATTGCCAAAACGAACGAGCCATGATTTTGCCACACACTCATGACTCCAAAATGGTGAACTCCACCCAAAACACAATGAGAGAAACCTCTCTAAGCTAATGGTGTTGGCACACAAATCCTAACTAGAGAATGTTAATCCTAACCAGAAGTAATTCCAAATCCTAATCAAATAGGTAATTAACAATGAGAATGTTAATCCTAACAATGAGAATGTAAATCCTAATCAAATAGGTAATTAACAATGAGATTTATAGTGCATATGACTTAGGTTACAATGAGAGTGTTAATCATAACTAGAAGATATTCCGAATCCTAATCAAATAGGTAATTAACAAAATCTCTCCATCAATCAAAAAAACCAACCAAGAAGTCGAATCCAAACTCAAATAAGACACCAAACGAAATTGGTAACATATACCTAATTTATGCATCATCCTAATTTTGAGCTGTAAATCCCAACAATGTCAATATCCTTCATAACTATGTTTTATTTTGCATGCCATGAAGAGAAATGCTAAGGAGACTCTTAAAAGTGAGACTTCCCATGGACTCTCGCTATCTCATAGTTTTTGCACAATATTTTATAATGTTAGCACAGAAATTGACGTTAAACTGTGAGATGGTATAAAGTCCATGGAAAATCTCACTTTGAGAGAATCTCGTTAGCATTTCTCTTACCAAGAAATATCTGACTATACATTCTTGATTATCCAACTATTTGAGAAAATTATTATCTTCTTCAAATCCGTCTAAGACCTTTATTTATTAACATTTCAATTACTATTATATCAAGCCCATCTTTATTAGAATTAGGTTTTTGAGGTAAATTTGCATTTTCAATGTTCTTTAGAACTACTAGCTAGTTAACGTCTAATTAACTAGGTGCACCTCATGAACCTTGTTCTTTTCTCTCTTGTTGAAAAAACATCTCTAAGTTTTTTTTTGTTTTTTTTATAGTGTCTTACCTTGAATTTGTATCTCAACCATCCAAATCTTTGAAATACAATTGGATTTTACTTTTCTTTTTTAATTTTTTAAAGAAATCACTTTATAATATTTGCTTCTTACCTTTTAGGGGTTAAAATTAAGCTGTTATATCCATATTCTTGAAGTCTACTTATACTTATAGTATGTTTGGATGAAGAAATTTAAGATTACTAAGGAATTTCAAAATGATGGAAATTAAAATGACAGGATTTTATTTTATAGAATTTGTGAATTTTCTTGTTTGGTTAACCTAAAAAAACAAGGGAATTGAATACGAAATTTTTTATTTTTAAACTCTAAATCATAGAAATTGAGAAATGACACCAATTTACATAGAAATTAAACTTGAAAATTGGAGGTCCCAAATTCCAAATTTTTTTCCATGCGGAAATTCTAAATTTCTATGGTTATGAATCTAAACAAGGGAATTGGTTCATATCATTTTATAAATTTTGACTTTTACACAAATTCCAAGCTTTAATCCAACATATATATATATATATATATATATATATATATATATATATCAAAAGGCATCCTAATATCCAAAAATGAAAAATGCTAGCAAGATTACACTTTTATATCACATTGATGTATTATATGATGTGGCAAGTAATATGTACATGAAACGTCAATTAATGGTTTTATCCCATTAACTAATGATTACATGAATCATTTACCACTTAATGTAATGTGGTATAAATATATGGTCTACTAGCATTACTCTATTCAAATAACGTGCCAAACTTTTGCAATTGATATCCTTTATTTTTTTAATTAAAGAAAATGTGTTGTTATTGACACTAAAAAAAAAATCGTTCTACACTTCTTATAAGTGTGTGTGTGTGTGTGTGTATAATATAGAAAGTTAATTTGACTCTCACAATGACTTTCTATAATGTCAATAATATATCACGAGAAACATTTTTCTCAATAACCTTTTGGACATATTTTTATAATGCAGTTCATGATTGAAGTGGAAATTGACCACTACTTATATTTGAATATTTCTATCATGCAGTTCATAATTCATGATTGATGTCAATAATATTTTTTTTTTTATATTTGTATGACTTTGAGTATTCGTCCAAATTATTGAAATGGACTACTGTTTTGTTAATTAATGTAGTTCATGATGGCTTGAAATTGTTGGTTTCATGGTTTGTATGACTTTGAGTATTTGTCCAAATTATTGAAGTAGACTACCCCTTTGTTAATTAATGTAGTTCATGATGGCTTGAAATTGTTGGTTTCATGGTTTGTATGACTTTGAGTATTCGTCCAAATTATTAAAATGGACTACTGCTTTGTTAATTAATGCAGTTCAAGATGGCTTGAAAGTGTGGTTTGATGGTTTGTATGCTCTTGGTTTTAAATTAAATTTTAGGGTAAATTATACAAAACTACCTCAATTATAGGTCGAATCACAATCTCATACCCTATGTTTAAAAATTACAATGTCATGCCTTATCTTACAAATTTGTTGCAATGTCAGACCTCCGTCACTTTTTATGTTAAATGATGACGTGGCTTGAGGCGGAGCCCACTTTCTCGTCCAACTGGATAAAAATATTAATTAAACATTGAAAAAAAAAGATAAAATTAATTAATATTTAAAAAAGGGACCCACCCCTTACCATCACTATCACGCCTTACCTTTCTTCTTCCCCAGTTCATCTGTCCCCCCTTCCAGAGATTAAATGTAACAATCCGTTCCCAAATATTTTGGTTTTTATACTTTTAAAGTATGAATTTACGAAAATGCCCTTCGAGGCAAAAACGTTGACTTTTGTTGACCGCCTTGTCATGTCACGTGAGATTCATTTCCTTGGCGTATCCTAATAGTACTTATCGCTACAAACATGTGGGCGCAAGCGGAGTTGAATTTCGAGCTAAAACGTGAATTTTACAGAATTCAAATGTAAGGGCATTATGGTAATATTACGTCCTGTGAGATATTTTCTCGTTTCGTCTTCTCTCACTTTGGTTGGTGTGCCAGTGAAGCCCACCCCTGATTTTTGGTTCCTCGGTTCTTTCCATCTCTTTCTCTATTTTTCCCATCTTTCTCTTCAAGCTGAACTCTCTCTAGACCTCTCACCTTGTCTCTCTACCTCATCTCTACAAACTCTTTATCCAAGCTCACACAACAAATACCGACGGCACCGCCTCCACCACCATTAGCCTCGCCACTCCAGCGAGCACCATCACCATCTGTGGACCCTCCCTCCTCCCTTTCTTACCTTTCTACGATGTCACTCCATCTCTCTTTTGACAGTCATTGTGCATTGTCGTCCTCGACGAATCCTTGCCATCCTGACGAAGGTAAGCTCATAAAATCTTCATAGATTGTATTTATGAGTGACTTTGGGACGTTTTTTTGGTAGTTTTGGTGGCTATTGGATGCAGACACAGCTCGGTGGTAATGAACCCAGTTTTTCGATGAGTAAACCCACTTTTGTAGGCATTTTCCAGCCAACTCCGGCCACAGCCAAGAACACCAGTGGTATATTTCTATTCCTCTCCTTCATAGCTTTCAATCCATATATGGCATGCTACATTTAGTTGTGTATTAGAGCTAATCGAACTCCGTTTAGTTTCCTGGTAATTTTTCCAGAAATCAGCCGACCCACGGCCTGAAATCGAGTTGACCCTACCCGCAACCCAAAACTGAGCCCAACCTAATAACCAAGCCCAATCTAATAACCCTGCCCAACCAAACAACCCAGAAACCAGATCTAAACCGGATCTAACCCAGCCCAACCCAGCAACCTAAAATCGAGAATCAACCCGGACCCAATTCCTTGTTTTCCATGGGTTGCGTGTGGATGGCTGTCATGGCTGGTGCATGGAGCAGACGCACGTCCGCCGGTGACTTTTTTGGTGACCCATCTCGGTTCGTGCGATGGCGTGTGGCCTCTCGAGCTGCCGCCCCGTCGCGGTGCATGGGGAATTTGAGCTCCCTCCCAAATTTGATCGTTTTAGTCAAGTTTTATTAATTGGTCTCTATTTGTGGTTAAGTGCGTCGATTGGAAGTGACCCCGTCCTCCCTAGTTCAAGCGGCTCCCAGGTAGCGAAATAACTGTGAGTTGATCCCTTCTTAAATTGCATGTTTTTATAAAATATTAAGCTTGCATTCATGAAAAGCATGATTTCATCATTTTACGTTTTATGCATTATTTATGATTTATCGAATTATGTTTTACAAAACGTTATGAATTGTTGGACTTATGCGTATGATATATTATGGATTTACAAATACGATTTATCTATGGTTTATGAAACGATGCTTTGAGCATTTGAGCCCCGGAGATTTGATATGAGTTTTTGAGATATGTTTTATGTGCTTATTTAGTGGGTTATCGTACAGCACATACACACAACACAAGTATGTAGATGTATATGGCCATAGGACACATTAATGATATTTATGGCATACTCCTAGCTTTACTGGCGAAACCAATGTCGGACAACTTCAGAGCATACTTAGGATCTTCTCCTACTCTAGTAGTGTATCGGCCTTGATATCATTTGGATGTCATGGCTTTAGTTTATTGATGCCCTTCGGCATGGTTGTGCAATCCTCACTCTGCCTGAATAGTCACATCCTATATGAAGTATAAGAAATTTGTGTCGGGATTGTGCCTCAAGTTTGACGTCATTGACTAACGAATGACTTTCAATATCGAACCGATACTATGCGTCATGCATTCCCTAGGAATGGCGGGCAAAGTCGGTTCTGCACAAAAGTGTTGTGAATTAGAGGAAATCTTAGTGGAATGAAGTTTAGTTGGGACCAGTTGAAGATCAGAGGCTATGATGGTACTCTACGACTTGCGTTTCTTAGGAATGGCGGGCAGAGGCACCTGTTAGGAGATTGCTTAAAACATCCAAAGTTCGTGTTGGAGAAACTTAAGAAAGCACCAGTTGTAGGTAATGTTAGCATGTGTCGGTGGGGTAGACCGAATCAGTTTCCTCGAGCTTGTTGTTTCCACTGAGCGAATTCGTGTGGACCCTGAGGAAAATTCTCAGTAATTATCTTATTGATAATATTCTTGTCTACTTCAACCACGAGGTCAAGTTAATAAACATCAACAGCCAGCTTTATGCCAAATTTTTCGAAAATCAACCTTGCTTAGATTCCATACCATTCTTAGGAGACGTGCGCGTAACAAAAGATATTCTTACCAAATCCAAGGTTGTGACTGTTGGAAATCGAAGATCCTCTCGAATGTCATGAATTACCAAATATCATCGGTCTTGTCGACTTCTATCGACAGTTGTCAACAATTCTTTTACCATAGTCTTATTCCCATTTCCTTTGACTAGGGAAAAGTTAGTTTTGTTATGATGTTGAATGTGAATGAAGTTTCTAATAACTGAAGTGTTGTCTCACCCGATCATTGTTCTTACACCTTTCGATGACGCCAATCAATTCCAAATTTTACGGTGATGTCTTACGGAATGTCTAGTTGTGCGCTAATGCAGCATGATCGAGTGAACACTTTTACCTTTCGACGGTTGGGAACACATGATGTGAACCATCCTATCTACGATCCTGAGTCATCTGCTACCGTCCTGGATTGAAAATCTAATGACACTCTCTGTGTGGGGTAATGCATTAAATCTTTGTCAACCTTACAAATTTCTTAGTTATATCTTCACTCAAAATGAGCTAAATCTTAGGGAGCGGAAATGGATAGGATATATCAATGTCTACGATTGCACCATCGCATGCCACCCTGATTGTGCAATTGTAGTTACTGACGATCGCAGTAGAAAAAGCCATAGGTACCCAAATGCTCTTCAATCAGTTCTATTTACACCTTATGCGAAACTCTCGAATACTTTTGTGACGTTACTTCTCGATTATCAAGAAACTGAGTTAGCCAATTTTTCAAGTTCTACCATTTCAGATTGTTGTTACCCAATCAAATTAGGTACTTGTAGGTACTCAAGCATCAAAGTTGTATATTCTATTCAGATGTCTTGTACTCTAGATTTAATGGCCTTGTTTTGACCCTTAAACTCTTAAGTGTTCTTTTAGCCTTCTCGACATGGTTTCTCGCTAAACCTGTGAAGAATTCACGATGGATCGACTTGGTTGAAATGTACACTCAATTTCATAATGGTACCAATTGGAAACACTAAGAGCATAACCTTTTCACAAACTTATCAGATTTACCAGGAAGAATTTCAGGTGGTCTTGAGGATTGTGTAGTATTTTAGTAAGGAATTGGTAGAGGTAG